CCAGATTTTGACAAAACCCTAAAATGTTTGCATGGAAGAGAAGAAAGCTGCCACAGACTACTTGTCTTCCTTTTTATGCTTGTGTGTGGCTCAGAGTATTCATGCAGGAGTCCGTGTTTTATGGGAAATGGACTATTCTAGGTTGTCACTGTCTCAGCAGCAGCCACTCCCTGCAGGACAGGAAGCCCAGATAAGACAGACTCTGGGGAATGTCTCAAAGCCCTAGCAGTCTTAGTTCCTCTTTTTTCTTGCCCGCACAGGACCCATCTCTATGGCAAATGAGGGGGAGGGATGTGATTATGGAACCAGACCTGAGTCCACTCCCATTAACAAAAAGAAGAAACCTTTAGATAACACTTAGACATCGCTATTAGCAACAGGTCTCATGTCAGGGCACCAAAAGGAGAAGCCAGGTGGAAGTCCTGCCTGTACCCTCCTGCCCCTGCTGTGGCTCCACCCCCCTCCCGTAGCAACCCTGGCCTGGGCGCTGTAAACATCAACATCTCTGGCCCCCTGCAGCGGTGGAGCCGGCCTGACTCTGGGGACATTCTAGCCAGCATGAGGTCACTGCCTGGGGCAGCGGATCAGAAGGAGGGCTGGCATCAGGTGGCCGCTGATGTCATCCTGTCCACTGCCATCCTGGCTAAATTGTTCCCGAGTGAGAGTCCAACGCCCTCCTGACCAACTCCCCATGGTGACTGTCCTGGTTCTAGTGGGCCCGTCCAGAGGTGGGCCTGATACTTAACCAGAAATCCTGGGCTCCCCAGACAGCTGGGCACGTAGAAACCTCCCCCAAGCCATGCACCATGGCAAACTGCAAAGATGACTGTTTTGCTGAGGGAGCATTTTAATACATAAATTAGATCTTGACAGTCTCTTGCTTAAAGCCCTCTAATGGCTTTCTAATGAACTTGGAATAATATACAAACCCTGTCTGCATGCTTTGGTACCTGGCCCAGCTCACTGACCTTGACTCCCAGCACACTCCCCTGGCTCTGGTTGTCTTTCTACTGCTCCAACACTCCAAACTGGATCCCTTCTTCACTTTTGAACATGCATCCTCTGCTTAGAACACTCTTCTCTTAGCTCATGAATGGCTAGCTCCTTCTCATGGTTGGTTTGAGTCTCAGCTCAAATGTTACCCCCTCAGAAACGCCTTTGTGGACCACCCAGCCAGAGGTGCCTCTGCCGCTGCACCTCTCTGTTACTTGGTCTATTTCATTTCTTCCAATCATGCTATTTATTATGTCTCCCTCACTAGACTGGCAGTTCCTCGAGGGCAGGGTGTGACTGTCAGGTTCCCTGCAGGGATCCCAGCACCAAAAACAGTACCTGGCACCAAGAGAGTTCAACATGTATTCATAGAACAAGACAGGGCAGGCAGCTACAAGGACCAGCTCCATGGCAGGAGCACATTCCCTATGCAGTGGGGCCCAGGACACCCTGTCGCCATCAAGGAGAACAAGGGGTCCACTCCTCAAGTGTGCCCACAACATCTGCAGGGGTCTTTAAAGTCAGAGATGGCAGAAAACACCTGGAGGTGGTGCCTGCCTCAGGAATCATAAAGGTGACGTGACTACAGAAAGTGGGGAGCTCTGAAGCCCTTCCTCCCCTGGTTCATCAGAAAGAACAGACCCATGTCACTGCAGACTCCGTGAGAAGAGGAGATATGTATCCCGTGGAGTCTCCCAACTTCACAGGATGGCAGCATTTCCTAGTTACAATTACTTAGAGGCCTGTTCTGGTGCTTTGCAGTCACCCACACCCGCAGAGGCCACAACTGCTGAGGGGAGGAGAGTGGGTGGCCTTAGAGGGCAGTGCTGGGTCACTCACTCTCCACGTAGAACACGCCCACTTTGTCCGAGTCCGACATGGAAATGTAGAGAACCATCTCATATCCGATGGGGAGGCGGTCGGGGCCTTTGGTGCGCAGGATCATCTGGGACATGTCCTTGAGGTCTGAGGGGCAGAAGCACAGGAGGTTAGAATGAGGGGACCTGCTGCTGGAGCGCTGGCCTGCCAATGCCTTTGGCTTTTATAGTTGGGAAAAAGAAAACCCCACATGTGTATTACAGGAACTATACAAAAACAAAAGGAGAAAAGTAAATCAGCTGTCATCTCCAACACCAGAGACAACCTCCTATTAACCTTTTGGGAATTTCCTTCCCGTCTATGTATGTGTGCAGCTTTAAAAAAAACATGGTTCCATCCATTCTTGCCTTCTTTTAGAAAAGAAGAAAACCCCCAAAACCATGGTTCCAGTTGAACTGTATTGACCGTTTCTTCCACTTTGAGCAAGTGTGGATATTTCAGTTTTCCATCCCTGGAGACCCAGGTCTTTACCTGCCTCATGCTCTGCCCTGCCCAGGGCTTGGCATGAAATCTTTCCACTGCCTCCCCAACCCCAAGTATGGGTCCTTCTGGCACCTTCCTTGCTGTAGACCTTCTCATCACTGCAGTCCTCCTTGGGCAGCCAGGGTGTGTCTCGGTCACAGTTCACCAGCAGGATGGCCCCCTGGCCCTCGGGACCCCAGGTCCAGGACGCCTGCAGCGGCAGGAAGAGAGGTCAGTGCCCTCTTCTCTATCCCAGTACAGTCCCCACGGGATGCTGGAGAGACAGCCTCAGGAAGAGGATGAAGAGCAGCCACCACCCACCGGGCAGCTGTGACCTGGCAAACGTGAACCCCAAGACTGATGCCCAGAGAGGACCAATGTGAGCATCAGCGGCAGTTCAGCAGGGGGCAGCGGCAGAGAGACAGGAAGCTGGCCGGGCATTCGTGGGCCTCACGTCTGGTGTCGCTGCTCCCGGTAGGGGTGGAGGCAGGGAGGAGGAGGGTGGCCAGAGAATTGAGCAGACAGACATTCTACGACAGGCCCTGACGTCCCTAAGGGGGATCAGAGGGAAACGCTTGGAGGACAGACACCAGCTCTTTCCAGACATGCTCTGAGCCTCCAAAAGGGAAAGGCACAGAGCTCCATTTTCTACTTGCAGCCAGAGTGCCACCAGAGCAAACTCTGACAGATCATGTCACTTGCCAGCTCCCTGCTGACTCAGGATAAAGCCCTGATTCCTCGCTGTGGCCTGCAAGGCCTGGCCTGACCTGTCGTCCTCTCCAGTCTCACCTCCTCCTCTTTGCCCACTCACCCTGCTCCACCCACACTGGCTGCCTTTCTGCTCCCCAGACTCCAAGCTCTATGACCTTTGCCGGCGCTAGTCCCTCTGCCTGGAAAGCCATTCTGCCTCTTTTCACCTGCCCAACTCTACTGCTTCTCAGCCACAGCATAACTATCCCTTCTTCCAGGAAGCCTTCCTGAGTCTCCACACCAGAGTAGCTTTGCTGGGACTACACATGGACTGTACACATCCTTTTTGGGAGGACTTAGGATGATCGGGATGACACAGCTACCCACGTCAAATGTGGGTGTCTGCCACTGGACTGTGTGCAGGAGCTGTGTTTCTCTTGTTCTTTCAGCATCCCCTGGGCCTGCCCTAGTCCTGGAATATAAAAGATGCTCAATGAGTATTTATGGGATGAAGAAAGAGTATGAACATTTCACTGGTCCAGGTGTAGAAATACTGGCCAAGTTCAGGCCCACAGGGAATGCATAACTTTTCCAGGACTGCGGAGGGGAGGTTGGAAGGCTTCCTGGGCTGCTGGGACTCAGAGGCCTCTGCAGATTCCACTGTCAGAGGATGTAGCCACAGACACAGAGAAAGCATATGCAGGGCTGACCAAGGGCTGGGGCAAAACCTTGTTGCAGAGCCTGGAAGAAGGGGTTACAAACAGGCCTGAGGGACCTGTCCCACCTGCAGAGAGTCTGTGTTGGGCTGCTAGGCCCCAGTCTTCTCACTTGGCTGTATTTATTTGACTTTTTTGGGGAGGCTGGCTAGTATGGGGATCTTGACCTTGGTGTTATTAGCACCACACTCTCCCAAGTAAGCTAACCGGCCAGCCCTATTTTACTTTTTAAAGTACCCATCTATTGATAATTTAACCTAGGCTTCAGATTGCTATTATAAAAGTCACATATGCCCACGGCAAAATTTAGAAGATACGGAACGGCAGAAAATGGAAAATAGTTAGAGGTAACAGCCTGGATGTACACACAGCAAAACTGATGGAGCTTAAAAACTGGTTGAGGGAAAAGTACAGAGCAGAATGAGATCAGGAACATCATGCTATCTGCACAAATTAAAAATACATGCACACCAATGATACTGCATATTTCCTAAAAATCATAAGAACAGAAAGAGACACATTAAACCCATTAAAATGGTCCTTTGTGGGGGAGAAGAACAGGAGTAGGGGAATGCAAAATAAAAGAAAATAAATAAATGAATGAAGGAACAAATGAATGAATGGTGAATGAATGAATGAATGGAAACAGGAGAGGGGCTGTGCAGGCACCATCAGAGATAACATGTCTTGAACAGTGAATGATTAAGGATCTTCCCCAACCCCCTGAATTTTAAAATAAAAGAAAAGGCAAAATAATAAGAGCAGATGCCTTTGCAGCACTCTGTCTGTTGCAGGCACATTTATTCTTTACAACAGCTCTATGAACTGGGTAGCTGCTTTGCAGCTGTCTCTATAAGGAGCCTGGGCTCTGTCATTAGTGTGCTGTGTGTCTGGGAGCCTGTCCTGGGCCTCAGTCTCCTGATCTGTGAACTGGGAGTTATCTGCTTGGTGGGAGGACCATGGCTGCTGCAGGATCCAGTTTGGGGTTCTCCCCGTGGAAGTCCCCTGGTTCAGGGTGGTGTCTGCCCTGAAAGCTAGTTACCTTCTTTGGGTTGTTCTTCTCCACCACTCCATCCCGGTCTGCATCCACATCCAGGGAGATCTCTGGGGACAAGAGACATGGGTGAGTTGCTGAGCCTGCCAGACAGGATGGGGCCATGGACAAGAGGAGGACCTGTGGGATTAGGGTGCAGCTCACCCATTCACGCAGTCACTGGAAATGGAGGGCCTTGCTGAGCTCGTCTTCTCCAGCCCCCTGCCTCAATACCCCAGTACCTGCTGGAGAACTCAGCAGACACTGTGCAGACTTCGCAGCTTCCAGCTTCCAAAGGTGCTGTTGGGTAGGTCAGGACTGTCCCAGTACTTCATTGCTCTGGGTGGGGGTTGTGGGGCTGGCCCTCAGTCTGAAGATCTGAGAACCTCAGTTCAGAGAGGCAAAGTCACATGCCCGAGGTCACACAGGTGGCGTTAGCTGAACTGGGGTACAATTTGTGGTTGGTCTGTTTCATAGTTCATGTTTCAAAAACTTACAGGCACAGGATTCGTCTGTCCTGGGAGGCATGTGCATATGTGTGCACACGTACACCTGTGTGTGTGCACATCTCTCTTCCTCTCCCAGAACTTGCAGTGGTCTAGATCCCACCTCCAAGGACTGAGGGTTTTACTTTGGGTGGGAAACCATGTCTCCAACCCCGCTTGATCTAAGGGTGCCTGTGAACTCAAGGCTTCAGATAGAGTATCCAGGGTGGGGCCCCCACTTATTTCCTCTTTTGGGGAAGGAACCTTCAGCATCCCTAGGCCATGGAGACAGGCTTTATGGAGGCTGTGGGGCAGTGAAAAGTTTAGCATCTTACAGTGTTGGGTTTGAACCCTGGTTCTGTGATTACGAGCTGGGTGACTTTTGGAAGGTTAGACAACCTCTCTGAGCCCCAGTTTCCTTACCTATAACATAGGGCCCTTTCCAGGTATAGCAGTTACACTGACTGCAATGGTAGGCACTATTAACAATTTGAACAGAGACAGTGACGCTGGGAGTGTGTCCCAGAATGAGATGTGCCAGTTCCAAGTCCTTGGACCTGCCCGAGTGGGCTTGTCCCACGCCGAGCATGACTTGGACCGTGGTGGGAGTTGGGTGGGAACAAATGCATTCCTGGTCAGTCCCCTTGGCAGGCATGCCTTCTCCATAAATGGGGTGGGGAGGAGGGTCCTGGCACAGGCAGGGCACTAATGTCACCCTTCTCTGGGAGGCTCAGCCCAATGGAGTCCAGGGGCCACATTCTAGTCCTCCTTTGCCCACAGCCCAATTCCTTCTCGACCCTGAGAGTGACTTTTCTGGGTCTAGTAGGAGGCAGGAGGGTGGACGTTGTAAGGGTGCTTGGTACTGGGAGAGGCAGCCCTCCAGTGTCCCAACCTCTGCAGCACTGCTGTGAGTTAGATGCCATAAGTCATAACTTTATGAGCTCCTCCCACTGATGCCATTCATTCAGCATGTCACTGGAGCATCTACTGAGTCCTAGGCACTGGGCATGGGGGCACAGTGCCTGCTCTCAAGGAGCCCATGGTGCGTGAGATACATATGATGGCTCCCATTTCACAGGTGAGCAAATGCGGGCTCAGAGAAGTCACCTGTCAGCACACCGGGCTGATGATCCAGGAGGCTGGTGCAGGGAGAGGGAAGGCAGTGCCACCAGCTGCTGTGAAGAGGCTGAGGGCTCAGGTGCAGGAACAATATTGGTTTTGGCTCCCAGACCTTCACAAACTTTCCAGCTGTCACACCCCAGTGAATGCTGCCTTTCAGGGAGGTCGGCTTCCTGACGCTCCTCCTGGGAACTAGCTGCAGACCCAGCCTCCTTAAGAGCCTCTCCCGGCTTGTCAGGATACCCACTTCTCCTGCGTATGCAGCTCCCTCTGCCAGCTGCAGGGCACGCTCTACTCCATGCTCCACGACACACTCTCCTCTGGTCACATGCAGATGAGGAAACCGAGGCACCCAGCAAGGATGTGCCACTAAAGTTCCCAGAGAGCGCAGGGCCAGGCGTCCCACTTGGGCCTCTGACTCCAGATCCCTGCTCTCTGCTGTTCCCAGGCCGACCTCCGGCTGACCTCCACCCTGGGCTGTTTCCAAAAGCCACGCCCACCTTCAAAGACCCAAGACTTGCTCCTCTTAAGGTCATTCATAGAGCAGGGGACCATATCCCACTCTGGCAGCCTTGTGGCCTTTGTCTCTAGGCTGCAAGGTGACACTATACTGAGACTCCTTGTGGTGTATCCTTTTTTTTTTTTTTTAAAGATGACCGGTAAGGGGATCTTAACCCTTGACTTGGTGTTGTCAGCACCACGCTCACCCAGTGAGCTAACCGGCCATCCCTATGTGGGATCTGAACCCGTGGCCTTGGTGTTATCAGCACTGCACTCTCCCAAGTGAGCCACGGGCCGGCCCCTTGTGGTGTATCCTTTAAAGCAGTGGATCAGAGGAGAGAAATATGAAGCACTTTATATGGCTTTATTTCATTACACATTTCTTAAATTAAAAAATTTTATTAATGTAATATTTGCACATAGTGCAAAAAAGAAAAAAATCAAATCAAAGAGTACCAAACTGCTTCTAAAGAAAAAGAGCAGTTCCCTGTCCAGCCCTTCTCCTTACCTGCCTCAGGCAACCTACCTAGCACTAAATAATGTGCTTATAGCTATTTCCTGATTTATTAAACTCAGACAGGTTTCATTGCCTTCCTGTTATGTAATTTGGGCATTTCATAATTGGGCTCATTTGTCACCTCTCCCAACCTCCCACAGTGCTTCACAATTTCTCTCTCATGACCCATGACTTGTCCCCATAGTCCACTAGAATGGTCTCCTCTCCCCTCTTGAGCCCCCATCAAGCTACAAGCCATTTCCCCAGGACTTCTTCCCTGCGAGGCTTCCCCCAATGTCCAATTTAACTAGAGTCCAATGGAATGATGCTTATAGGGACAGAGAACAGGGCTGGCATGGCCTGCCCAGAACTCTGCCCTCCTGGGATGGCTCTGCCTTTCCCAGGGGGAGGAGGAGGGACAGGACAACTGTTTCAGGGCCTCTGGGCTCCAGACAACATTTCCCGGAGGCTCCGGATCCTACCTCAGCTCCCCAAAATAGACCCAAGGTGTCAGGTGGCACCCTGGGTGTAGGGCAGATTAACGGGAAATGTCACTAGGACTGGGTTCAAGGCAGTCTGCCCTGAAAATTAAGACATTGAGGCCTCAGCCACGACCCAGAGGCATAAGCATTTTGGTGGGTGGCCAGCCCCATGGACAGTGGCAGGGAGCCTGGTCTTCTTGCCTTACTGAGCAGCTTGGGGTGTGGTGGGGAGGAAGGGCTCCCTCCCCCACAGCCAACTGGGCAATTATCCTAGGCTCTGGGGAAGGGGCACAGGAACAAGCTCCTCAGGTGCATGCTCAAAATTCTCCAGACCCATGTATGGGTACTGCTCCCACTGCCAGGACACAGCAGAGGCTGGGACACTTCCTCCCACCCTCCCCAAATCTCTCCCCTCCCACTCTCCCCAAACAGGGAAGCCTTTGCAAAATCAGCCCTAATTGAAGCCTTGAAGGTCCTCAGGGATTAATAAACTCAAAACCCTCATTTTATAGCTTGGAAAAAGGGTGGGCTACCTGTCAAGGTCACACAGCATGTCCTTGGCAAGACTGGGGCCAAGACCCAGGACCTGATTTGGCTAAAGGCACCATGGGCTTGTTCCCAAATCCCAGGGGAAGAGAGGGGTGGTAAGTTTCTTCACTTTCACCCAGGCAGAGAGAAAATGTGGCTGCCCAAGAGGAGAGGAGAAAAGAAAGAGACGTCAGCTGAGCACCTGATCTGTGCCAGGCACTTTGCATGCACCCTGCTGCCGAATTCTTGTAAGCATCACGTAAGAGTGCTCTGTGAATCCCATTTTGCAGATGAGGAAACAAGGCTCAGCGGGGTGATGAGTCTTGCCCAAGGTCATAATGCAGCTGCAGGGGCAGAGCCAGAACTTAGACTTATTTCTGTCTACTCTGAAGCTCTGTCTTTCTACTCAGTGTGGTCTCAGGACAGGACTTGGGTAAGATGGATTCAGATATATCTTTGTGGGGGCACTCCCACCATGTCCAGATGTTCAGGGTGTCCATGCCTCTGAGGTGCTGCCCCTAATGTTCACTCAGGATATGGGGCTCGAGGGCTCCTGGGGTAGATGCCCAAGGGAAGAGAGGACCTGGAGGGGACAGCTAGACCAGTGGTTCCCAAGGGAAATCAGATTTTCACCAGTGTCCTTCCTGGTAGAACAGGAAACATAAGTTCAATGGGGTGAATTTTTCATAAAGCCTTATTTTTGCAATGTAAATGACTATCCTTTATTCTGAGATTATACCCTGCCTATTTTTTCGGTATTAAAATGATGATGATAGTTGATAGCAAATTGTTTTATTAAATGTCTTTTTTTTTTTTTGGCCAAGCATCAAAGTTGTCTAATTTGGGGAAGGGGGAGGGGGCGGGGGCCCATGGAATCTAAATATCTGGAACTTGTGGCAGTTAAATAATTAAGTGAAATCACAACCTCAGGACCTCAAATGGATGAGCTCAGTCATTTATCATGGGCGTATTTGGTATCTTCTGGGGCTCAGCCCTGCTGCTTCTGTGAGCAGCCTTCCTCTGAGCACAGCTTTGTGGTTTTCTAGTGGAGAGGAAGGGTCTGATCCTGCCTCCCTCTGGTGCTTTATTTTGCTATCTATGCTAAGTCTGTCTTGTTAATGGTGCAGTCAGCCCTCTGAAATCACCCTCATTTGACAGGTCTCTGGCCACTGCCCTTCCTGCTTATGTCCTCAGGTGTCCCTGTCTCTGTGGGATTAGGTTTCCCCAGGGACAGTCATCTGAGATAGGCTGGGGGCTATGCATGCATGCAAGGTTTGCACACGTGCCAGGGCTCAGCACAGCCCAGGAGTCTTTGGTTACCATCTTCCAAGGCTCCCCTGAGGTCATTAGGAGGTCCCCCTCCCCAGGGCTGGGTGCCCCCTCAGTGCAAAAAGAGGGACAGGGTGACCAGCAACCAAGCCTGTTTGGGAATTAGCTGAGAAGCAGAAGAGCACTGCTGTTGAGCCTATTTCAGCGGCTAAGAGCACAGAGAAAGCTAGAGAAGGTGGGGCTGGCTTGGGAGCTGTTACTTTTGGGGGAGGTTCCAAGACCCCTGTAGAATGTGAGATAACTGAAATGATTCAGTGTCCCACCAACCACTTTCCAGGTGTGTGGCCTCAGGCAAATTTTTGTTCTGTTGTTTTATGTTTTCTGAGCCTTGGTTTTTTCATCTGTAAAATGGGGATATAATAGTGTCTATCCTTGAAATGGTTGTAAGAATAGATTGAAATCATGACAGTGAAACATCTAATATGAGCACACTATAGGTGCTCAATAAATGTCAGGTGTCTATCATCTTCTTCCTCCTCCTGCCCCTCAAACCACCCAGCACAGTCCCAGACACAGAGCAGGTATGTGATAAATAGGAGACATCACTATTATTTTTAAAGCACTCAACACATAGTTGGTGTTCCATAACTGGTTGTTTCCTTCCTCTGCCATGTGGCAACTTGGTCAATGTTAGACCAAGGCTGGATGAACAAAACAAACCTCTGAAATGTCCTCCTGGCTTAATCATTTTATGGTTAAAAAATAAAATAACATAAAATAAAAGTAACACCTTAATTGCAGGAGGATTGAGCTACTGAAGGTTCAGAAGATCTCATCCTGGGCCCTGCTGAGCCAGGCTGGACTCTGCCTCCCCAGTGCGCAGGCATGGCACCCAGGGCAAGTGGTGTGGTGCCGTAGAAAGAACTGGGAGGGGGATAACCCTGAGTTCCGGACTCAACTTGCCATTGAGTTGCTGTGTGACTTTGATGAGTTCCCTAACCTCTCTGGACCTCACCATCCTATGGGTCAAATGAAGGGCTTGGACTGGGTGAGTTAAAGACCCAGGGCTGCATCTCTGTGCCCTGGGGCTGGGGCTGGGGAGGACCAATGGGCGTTGGGGATTGTCAAAGACATTGTCAGGCTTTGTAGACTGTGGCCATTTCCCTTACCAGGAGAGGAAAGCTCTTCTCCAGGCTGCAGGGGAGAGGGGCGAGGAACAGACTTTCCTCTTTGTCTTCCATGGCCCACAGAGCCTGCAAAGGGGAACCTGACATTGGTGAGTCACTGGCAGACCAGGGAATGCCTCCTCCTGCAGGAAGCCCCCCGTTCCAGTAGGAAAGGGCAGGGCACATGCAGCATCCTTCCACAGGCCTGCATTATTCAGGAGAAGCTCCAAGTGCCAGGTCTGCAGCGTTGAAAGCAGCCCAAGGGCCACCAAGAAGGGTAGCAATGCCACACCAACTCACCAATGGCCGTGAGGAAGAGCCCCGCCTGGTCGATGGGAATGGTCCCTTCCTCGTCATAGTAGTTGACGGTGACCTTGGTGCGGGGTGGAGAGAAGAGCAGAGATCACAGATCACAAGCAGGAAAATCTGAAGTAATCATCTTCCCTGCCTCACACCTCACAACTTGTCATGCCAACCCTCTCCAAACATCTGAACCTTCTCCTCCAGGAAGCACTCCTGGGTTTGTGGGCTGCGTCTCCCAGATAATTGAACTGGATGGTGAGCTCCCCTCCTCTCAGGGTGCAGCCAGGGTGCCGCCTGCCCATCTGTGCCTTGTATGCATTCTGCTGCCTGCAGAGTCCCCACAGTTGCCGTGTTGTATGTCCAGCTTCTGCTAAGCTCCCAGGGGACAGGGCTGAGGTTGTTTTCTTTGGATAATGCCCAGTGCCATCGCTGAGATATGACAAAGTTCATAAGTAGGGAACCCAGAGAGGAGACAGTTCTGGTCTTGGCTTTACCACTTGGGCAAATCCCTCTAGCCCACGGGTACCCAGAAACCCCTTTCACGGCCAATGAGACCAAGGATGCTTGTGGCTGTAACTCCAAATGATCCCATGGTTCTGAGTTTCTAAACTGCCTGCCATTCAGCAGTCCACAGTTTTAACCTTCTATGAAGCCACCATTCCATGGTCTTACGTCGTGCTGTGCAACGCAGCAGTCACTAGCCCACGTGGCGACTGAGCATGTGAAATGTGGCTAGTCTGAAGTGAGATGAGTTGTAAGTGTAAAACACACACTGGATTTCGATTTGGTATGAAGAACGGTATAGGCCCTTGGTTAACATTTTTTATATTGATGACATGTCAAAAGGATAATATTTCAGTATATGGGGTTATGTAAAATACATTCTGAAAACTGGAAATGATGTAGGTGGCTCTTTCTGTTTCCACTGGACAGAGCTGGTCACGCCTGCCTCTATTCCCACATGGCTCCTGGGCTCCTGCGGCCCTTGAGTGCTGACGTCCCCAGCCAAGGTACCTTGTCACTGCTGGCCTCGGTGCTCGCCTGGCTCATGGTGAGCCGCAGTGTGGTACTAGGTGACAGAGGCCAGCGCTGTTTGCCATTGGTGGCTACCTCCTCAGCCTGCCCGTCCCGTACGATCTCCACCCGCACACGCTCTGAGTGCTTCAGGCTGAAGGTTTGGGCCCCAGCGGGGGCCGCGCTATAGAGAGAGAGAAGAGAGGGTCAGCAGAAGCCCTGGGGCAAGTGGAACAAGGAGCTTCAGGAGAAGACTCCTGGAGGGGCAAGGATGCAAGGGCCCTGCCAGGTCATCTAGTCTGGGGGACCCCAAAGGAACCAGCTGCTTTGCAATTACCTGGTAATGGAGAGAGCACTTGCTAAACATACAGATTCCTTGGGCCAATATTGTACCTACTGAATCCGAATGTTGGAGAGTGGGGCCCAGGAATCTGAATTCTTAACAAGTTTCCTCATGCTTTGGATGGGTGGCCTGCTTTGGGAGCCACATGGGCATATGACTGAGGAGTGAATTTGGTCCAAAGGCAGAGCTGGGCCTAGAACCCTGTCTTCCTGTCCAGTGTCTCTGAGCAAAGCGCTGAGTTCTCACAGAGCCAGAGCTGGGAACCTGGGTCCTAAAGGGGTAGGGCTGAGGTGGCTCTGTCACAAAGACCCTCTCTTTCCCGCTGCCCCAGCTTTTCTTGGCCTGGAATTCCTCACCTTCTGAGAGTCATTCCCTGGGGTTCAGGAGTGGTCTTCTATTGAAAGGGAAATACTTCTGGAATTCTTAAAAAGTCATCAGGACTTCAGGGTAGGAGAACTAACTGGTTTAAACTGGCTGCTATCGATGTTTGTGCTCCATGTCCCCATTCATACACTGAAGCCCTAAACCCCAGTGTGACAGTATTTGGAGATAGGGCTTGTAGGAGGTAATTAAGATTAAATGAGATCATCAAGGTGGGGTTCTAATTCAATAGGATTGGTGGCCTTATCAGAAGAGAAAGAGAGAGAGATCTCTCTCTCCATGTGCACACACCAAGGAAAGGCCATGTGAGGACACAGTGACAAGGTGGCTATCTGCAAGACAAGAAGAGAGACTGCACCAGAACCTGACCTTGGTGGCACCCTGATCTCGGACTTCCAGTCTCCAGAACTGTGAGAAAATGCATTAGTTTTTAAGCCACCCAGTCTATGGTGCTGTGTTACGGCAGTTATGGCTTAAGGAGAGGCAACGGGAAGGACAGGGAGACCCAGGAGGAAGGTGCCCAGGGTGATGGCTTTGCTAAATCCAGCCTCAGTCTGAAGGTTCCTAAAAGCCAAAGAGGGCTCGGAGGGATTCAAGTGAGATTCTAATGGGATTTGTGACTAAGACGTAGGTGTAAGAGTGTCTCAAAAGCACATCTGCTATTTTGGGATCCCGGTGTTCCTGGGTTCTCGGAGTTCTCAACTGTGGTGGGGCATCAGAATCACCAGGGGTGCTGTTTAAACCTTCAGGGTATTTTTTTAAGGCTGCAGGTTTGTGGACCCCACCCCTGGAGAGTCTGACTGGCGTGACTGAGGCATGGCCAGGGCAGCTAAAGATGTGAACAGTGTGGGCCGAGCCCGTGGCGCACTCGGGAGAGTGCGGCGCTGGGAGTGCAGCAGCGCTCCCGCCGCGGGTTCGGATCCTACATAGGGATGACCGGTGCACTCACAGCGCTCACTGGCTGAGCGCGGTGCAGCCGGTCTCAAAAAGGACAAAAAAAAAAAAAAAAAAAGATGTGAACAGTGGCCAGGGCTGAGGGAGAGGTTGGGCCAGTGTCTCTCAAGGGTCAGGGTCAGCAGCACCTGGTTGGCTTGTCAAAACGCAGCTCCACCTCAGAGTTTCAGATTCAGTCAGTCTGGAATGGGGACCGAGAATTTGCATTTCTCACCTGTTTCTAGAACCTGTTGATGCTGTGGGTTCTGGGGCCACACTTTGAGAACCACTGGTCTTGACATTCATTAATGCAGTCTGATGGTTAGAGCCCTGGGGTGGCCAAGGCCATGAGTGTGAGTCTGTAGAGGCCACCAGGCAGCCTCGCTCTGACCCAGGCCACAGACTGCAGGGGCTATTGGTAGGAGAGAGTGGGCAAGGGTCTGGCAGCCCATGCTCGGTGCTGGGAGAAAAGCTCCAGCACCCTCTATTTCTTGTCCCTCTGCCCCCTTCCAAACTCTTTAGCCTGTTACAGGGACACTGGACTGATCTGAGGCTGGACACCTGTTGGGTTGCATTTTTTCCTTGTGGAATTGTCACGTGGTGTTGCCACATGCGCCTTTCCTCCTCTGGGTTTTAAGAGTCCTGAGGGCAGGGTTCTCTTCCCTTCTTATCCTTCAGAGCCTAGCACAGGGCTGGGCACATCACACATACTCACAAAGGGGGTGGAACTGACAGGGTAGAAGGCCAGCTGTTCCCAGAGGGAGGTGTGAGTATGAGTCTCACATGCGTTAGGTGGCACCTGGATGAATGATTTAAAAGAAGACTTATGTGTTTATTACATGCAGTGTCTTTTTATGGCAACTGATAAAACCTTGCCATTTATGGTAATGCCATGAAATCTCCATTTAAAATAAAGTTATTAAGAAAAATGTGAGTTGGTTTAAAGAAAAATGTGAAGTTAATAGTGCTGCAGGTGGAGTATGGTTTTGGCAAAAATCATGAATATCTGGGAAATTGTGGACTCAGGTCTGGGAAACGTTCCTCTAGTACAAGTCTCACCTTTGACCATCAACTTGATGGGTGGCCTTGAACAAGGGGCTTTCTCTCTCTCTCAGTTTCATCGAGTGTTAATGAGAGGACTGGACTGAGTCAGAGGTGGCTCGAACCTAGAGGGTACAGAGGGCAGGCCCGGGCAAAGGGGTGGGGAGGGAGGCTCTGGAAAGTTGGGGATCTCTCTGCTAGATCCCTGCCCCCCTTTAACCAGAGCCACTGTTATTTCATCTGGTTTTATATAGTGAGCTTCTGCATACAATTCTATTTAGAAAACTAATGCTTTACAACTGATCTCTTAATTACTGTAAGCAATGCTTCCTGCCCGCCTTCATTCCTCTGGGCCAGTGAGAAACCGGAGGAGGCCCCAGAGGCTCAGAGGGTTAACATCAGGCCCACATCGAAGCTCCTCCTACCACTCAGCACCAGCCGTCCTCCTCCCAGCTGAGCAAACAGCTATTCTTGGAGCGGCCCTGGCAGATGCAACAAAGGTGCCCATTGTTCCCCTGCAGATCCTGCTGGCCGTCTCCCTCCCCAGGAAGAGCCTCTTAGAATCCCCCGGCAGAAACCTGAGAGCCAGGGGCTGTGGGCACATCGATTGTTCCTGGAGGCTGCAGGGAGAGGCCCACAACAGTACGGAGGGAAAGGGAGTGGGAGCGGGGATGGTCATGACCTCCCTGCTTGTTGGAAAGAGGCTAAAGATAGTGTGGACGGAAGGGCAGGCTGCCCACCTCTGCTTTGTCCTCAGCATCCATGACACGGTTGTGCCAATGTATTCTTTGGGAATAAGTGAATGAATGAACCCAACCTTCTTGGCTTTCCAAGCTGTACTCTGAGAGTGATTTTTTAAAACACAGAAATTGGGTCATTTGTTTGCTTGAACATATTCTGTGGCTCCTCGGTGCCTACCCATAATATAAAATCCAACTCTTTAGCCTGGTGTGCAACCAGTGGCATTTAGCCACTGCGTCGCAGCTTGACTCTCCAGCCTTATTTTCTGCAACTCCTGCCCCCCCCCCGAATTCCCTGCATTGTTTCACCTCACTGTGCACTTTTGCATATGCTGTTCCTTCTACCTGCAATACTCTTCCCTGACTTCTCTAGCTGGCAGATGTCCCTCTCTCATTGAAGACCCAACTCAATCGATTTGTCCCCATGTATGTTTTCCCTTGTGGTAGTTAGCTCCTTGGAGGTAGTGGATTGCATCTTCTTTAAAAAAAATTTTTTTGTTTCCATACCTGGCCTAGTATAAGGGACACTGTAAGTATAAATATTTGCTTTAGGAAGGACTGGAAGAGGAAGGCTTGCTTACATGGTCATTCATTCACTCAACATATTTACTGAGCATTTACGAGGGGTCTTCAAAAAGTTCATGGAAAGACTCATATAATCTTTCAATTCCCCCTTTTCATGGAACCTTTTGAAGTACTCTCACACTATGTGCCAGGCACAGTTCTCTTACGAGGGGTCTTCAAAAAGTTCATGGAAAGACTCATATAATCTTTCAATTCCCCCTTTTCTTTTCTTTTTTTTTCCTTTTTGTCTTTTTTACTGACCGGTAACGGACTGGCAACGGGATCGCAACCCTCGGTGTTGCGCCCGCACCACGCTTAGCCAGTGAGCGGGAACCGGTCTCCACATGGGATCCGAACCCTCGGCAGATTGACATCAACCTACTGGCCATTTCTCTCCATTTCCATGGCTGTTACCCAGTCCTAAGCCACCATCATCACTCACCTGGACAGCTGCAGTCACCTGCTTGCTGGTCCCCCCATTTCCACGATTGCTATCCTGAAATCCATTTCCACCCACCTACCACACCCTGGGTGATCCTGCACCCTGGGTGATCTGTCTACAGTGCAAAAATGATCATGCCTCCCTGCTTAGAAACTCTCCAGTATGCCACCAGGCCGGCCCCAATTCCCCCTTTTCATGGAACCTTTTGAAGTACTCTCACACTATGTGCCAGGCACAGTTCTAGGTGCTGTGGGTAGACTGGTGAAAAAGATAACATGTTCCTTGGGCCCAAAGAGTATACATTCTAGAGAAGACAAAGGCTTCCAATGGATTACACAATTAATTGTGTGAGCACAGCTATGGTAATTGCTATAAAGGAAAAGTGTGGGGTACCATGAGGCCCTGGTCTGGGGTTCACGGAGGGATTCCCTGAGGAAGTGGCATTTGAGCTAAGGTCTAAACTTTACAGTTTAAAGGACAGACAAGAATTAATTAGACCAGTGTATTAGTATCACCTATAGGACCTGTTAAAATCCAGGTTGAAATGCCTGACTCCTGCATTCCTGATTTATCAGGTGTGAGATGGGGCTTAAGAAACTGCATTTCTTTTTTTTTTTTTTTTGTCTTTTTTCGTGACCGGCAACAGATCGCAACCCTCAGTGTCGCACCCGTACCGGACTGGGACCGGCAATGGGATCGCGACCCTCAGTGTTGCTCCCGCACCTCGCTCAGCCAGTGAG